GAACCGTGTACGGCCGGGCCGAGTTTCCAAATGGTCAGTCCGCCCCTGTATAGCGCATGACCTCAGAACATGGCTGAAGTGGGGGTTTGGTTATTGAGACGGGTAGATTAGAGAGAGTTTGCATTCTAGGCACCTGAGGCTGAACAAATGCAATCCTCTTCTGTGGTATAGTGTGGGTGATTTGTCCCCCCTGTTCTCCCCCCCCCCATTACATTGGTTCCAGTGCTGGTGTCTCCATATTATTGGTAGTTCAGCGGGCCCACTGTCTGGCTTCTGCCATATGGAGGACAGGCATTACAGGGTCCTTCGGCCACCAGCCGGATTTCATCATGGCCCTCTGTTTTCAGTAGAAGGATTTATATAGGGAAGGTAATGTGGGCACACGATCATGTATGGATGAGTCCTATTGCTATAAGTTATAGCTGGGAGCGCAGAACACAATAAAGGTCGGTTCCCCCGATCATTACTAACAGTTCTGACTTGCTGTGCGTCCACCTTGTGTTGCAGGTATCTCCTTCAGTACCAGGAGCCCATCCCCTGTGAACAGCTGGTGACAGCCCTGTGTGACATCAAACAAGCGTACACACAGTTCGGAGGTAATGCACAAGCCGTGTGGTAGTGGTGGTGGACAACAAAACAAAAAAAAATATATAAAAAAAAAAAACCCCAGAACAAAAAAAGAATAAAAAAAAAAAAACTGGGCAGACTCGATGGACCACTCGGTTGTATGTTTCTGTCCTTTTAGTCCGTGTCCTTAAAACACGTTGCAACATCATGACACGTGTGCTCTTCACCTGGTGCCCTTCTCAGTATAGTTAAAAAAAAAAAAAAAAAATTAACAGAATATTATGCTTAACCCCTTCGCTCCGGTGCCTCCCGGCCCTTTAAGGGTTTCGGGAGGCGGGGTTTAGGGTCATGTGACGTACCGTCACGGCGGTCACATGATCGGGAAAGGTCCCGATCGAAAGAGAAGATCGGGACCTTTCCATGAGTACGGACGGACATGTGTGCTGGGAGCGTGCAGGGCGCGCGCTCTCAGCACATATGTTCTTTTTTAATAGAACGCAAATGTGTGGCCGCTCGGCGTCTAGGCCCAGACACCAGGAGGCCACACATTTGCGTTTGGCCGGCATGAAGAGGGTAATTATATAAAGTCCAAAAATTCAATGTATGAGCATGCTCAGTCCATTTACAGTCCTAAAAGGGATCAGAAAACTGACTGGGAAGTGAACAATCGTGCTTCCACCACCAAACATGATTAGCCTCTTACCAGAAGCATTGATCTCGTTAACAACAGATCAATACACACTGGTGTGCTCTTAATTGTAAATATACCACGTCCACCGCCACCCCTCTGTCCAAGTAGACCACGTCCACCGCCACCCCTCTGTCCAAGTAGACCACGTCCACCGCCACCCCTCTGTCCAAGTAGACCACGTCCACCGCCACCCCTCTGTCCAAGTAGACCACGTCCACCGCCACCCACCCCTCTGTCCAAGTAGACCACGTCCACCGCCACCCCCTCTGTCCAAGTAGACCACGTCCACCGCCACCCCCCTCTGTCCAAGTAGACCACGTCCACCGTCCAACCCACCCCTCTGTCCAAGTAGACCACGTCCACCGCCACCCTCTGTCCAAGTAGACCACGTCCACCGCCACCCCTCTGTCCAAGTAGACCACGTCCACCGCCACCCCTCTGTCCAAGTAGACCACGTCCACCGCCACCCCTCTGTCCAAGTAGACCACGTCCACCGCCACCCCTCTGTCCAAGTAATATACCACGTCCTCCGCCACCCCCTTGTCCAAGTAATATACCACGTCCTCCGCCACCCCCTTGTCCAAGTAATATACCACGTCCTCCGCCACCCCCTTGTCCAAGTAATATACCACGTCCTCCGCCACCCCCTTGTCCAAGTAATATACCACGTCCTCCGCCACCCCCCTGTCCAAGTAATATACCACGTCCACCGCCATCCCTCTGTCCAAGTATATACCACGTCCGCCGCCACCCCTCTGTCCAAGTATATATACCACGTCTGCCGCCACCCCTCTGTCCAAGTATATACCACGTCCGCCGCCACCCCTCTGTCCAAGTATATACCACGTCCTCCGCCACCCCTCTGTCCAAGTAGTACAGCACGTCCTCCGCCACCCCTCTGTCCAAGTATAGACCACGTCCTCCGCCACCCCTCTGTCCAAGTATAGACCACGTCCGCCGCCACCCCTCTGTCCAAGTATATACCACGTCCTCCGCCACCCCTCTGTCCAAGTATATACCACGTCCTCCGCCACCCCTCTGTCCAAGTAGTACAGCACGTCCTCCGCCACCCCTCTGTCCAAGTATAGACCACGTCCGCCGCCACCCCTCTGTCCAAGTATATACCACGTCCGCCGCCACCCCTCTGTCCAAGTATATACCACGTCCGCCGCCACCCCTCTGTCCAAGTAGTACAGCACGTCCTCCGCCACCCCTCTGTCCAAGTATACCACGTCCACTGCCACCCCTCTGTCCAAGGTTTTGCTCACCTCATAAACAGAAATCAGAATTGTTTGACAACTTCCTGCTGTCTGTTGCCTATATTGCAGTATTCTGAGTTCTTTCCACTTTTGTTTGACAGGGAAGCGGCCATTTGGTGTCTCGTTGCTGTACATAGGATGGGACAAGCACTACGGGTTCCAGCTATATCAGAGCGACCCCAGCGGCAATTACGGGGGCTGGAAAGCTACATGTATCGGGAACAACAGTGCGGTAGGAATGCTAACAGGCCGCCATTGATGGCTACATAGAATAAAATGCTCAGGATTTTTTCTCGGTGACTGATGATTTGTTTGTCCGCAGGCTGCTGTGTCCATGTTGAAGCAGGACTACAAGGAGGGTGGCATGACCCTGAAGTCTGCTCTGGCTTTAGCCGTTAAAGTCCTTAACAAGACCATGGATGTCAGCAAGCTGTCCGCCGAGAAAGGTGATCTTCGCACCACATTTACATTCCACATGACTTCTCTCTGTCAAGATTAACCCTCACCCTGCCTGGCAAGTTAGCCTCGCCCTCCACATTTAGGTTTCAAAAACCAATGCCACTGCAGCTCAGGTGAATGACAGGGATGGGGACTGATGCTCAAAACTGGAGGGGCACCATTTTAGCTTTGAGGTACTATGGTACAGGTTGGGCCTAAGACTCAAGAGCCTGCACAAGGACATGGGGCACCTTAAACTTTTTTTAGGCTAGGTAAGGGTCTCCAACACTGGCAAGCGGTGAACTGGGGACATCAGGTTATCAATATGAAGTTTTTATACATAAGCTTGCACTTTTTACATTTTAAAATGTCTGTATGGTCGTCTTTGTAAAAATCTGAGACCATAAACCAGAGGAAGGATCAACACCGGCTGCCATTCACATCAGTCCCTAACCCTCAAGGGGTGTACAATCTAAGGTCCCTAACTCACATTCATACATACACATACTAGGGACAATGTAGACAGGAGCCAATTCACCTACCAGCATGTCTTTGGAGCGTGGGAGGAAACTGGTGTACCCAGAAGAAACCCACGCAGGCACAGGGAGAACATGCAAACTCCAGACAGGTGGTGCCATGGTTGGGGTTCGAACCAACGACCCGAGTACTGCCAGGCGGACGTGCTAACCATTTAGCCACTGTGCTGCCCTCCACTGCACTACACTCTTATTTACAAGCAAATCCCCCAAGATCCTGCCAGTTCCTTCCTTTCCTATAGCATTCTGACCACACAAAGGTCAAAAGCAGATCCGTGCTGTTGTGGTCAGTTTGTAGAATAAAGCTAGAGGACACTGCTGATGCACAGCATGCCTGTTGTCGGGTTTGCTGCCACCCTCCTTTCCCACACCGCATCACTGCTTGACACAGCCTACATAGAGAGGGAATGTGTTTCCATGCTGATGCCAGGCAATGGGGAAATGCGGGGGGCCCACGTCCTCCGCCACCCCCCTGTCCAAGTAATATACCACGTCCTCCGCCACCCCTCTGTCCAAGTAGTATACCACGTCCTCCGCCACCCCTCTGTCCAAGTAGTATACCACGTCCTCCGCCACCCCTCTGTCCAAGTAGTATACCACGTCCTCCGCCACCCCTCTGTCCAAGTAGTATACCACGTCCTCCGCCACCCCTCTGTCCAAGTAGTATACCACGTCCTCCGCCACCCCTCTGTCCAAGTAGTATACCACGTCCTCCGCCACCCCTCTGTCCAAGTAGTATACCACGTCCTCCGCCACCCCTCTGTCCAAGTAGTATACCACGTCCTCCGCCACCCCTCTGTCCAAGTAGTATACCACGTCCTCCGCCACCCCTCTGTCCAAGTAGTGTACCACGTCCTCCGCCACCCCTCTGTCCAAGTAGTGTACCACGTCCTCCGCCACCCCTCTGTCCAAGTAGTGTACCACGTCCTCCGCCACCCCTCTGTCCAAGTAGTATACAACGTCCTCCGCCACCCCTCTGTCCAAGTAGTGTACCACGTCCTCCGCCACCCCTCTGTCCAAGTAGTGTACCACGTCCTCCGCCACCCCTCTGTCCAAGTAGTGTACCACGTCCTCCGCCACCCTCTGTCCAAGTAGTATACCACGCCCACCGCCACCCCTCTGTCCAAGTAGTATACCACGCCCACCGCCACCCCTCTGTCCAAGTAGTATACCACGTCCTCCGCCACCCCTCTGTCCAAGTAGTATACCACGCCCCACCGCCACCCCTCTGTCCAAGTAGTATACCACGTCCTCCGCCACCCCTCTGTCCAAGTAGTATACCACGTCCTCCGCCACCCCTCTGTCCAAGTAGTATACCACGTCCTCCGCCACCCCTCTGTCCAAGTAGTATACCACGTCCTCCGCCACCCCTCTGTCCAAGTAGTATACCACGTCCTCCGCCACCCCTCTGTCCAAGTAGTATACCACGTCCTCCGCCACCCCTCTGTCCAAGTAGTATACCACGTCCTCCGCCACCCCTCTGTCCAAGTAGTGTACCACGTCCTCCGCCACCCCTCTGTCCAAGTAGTGTACCACGTCCTCCGCCACCCCTCTGTCCAAGTAGTGTACCACGTCCTCCGCCACCCCTCTGTCCAAGTAGTGTACCACGTCCTCCGCCACCCCTCTGTCCAAGTAGTATACAACGTCCTCCGCCACCCCTCTGTCCAAGTAGTATACCACGTCCTCCGCCACCCTCTGTCCAAGTAGTATACCACGCCCACCGCCACCCCTCTGTCCAAGTAGTATACCACGCCCACCGCCACCCCTCTGTCCAAGTAGTATACCACGCCCACCGCCACCCCTCTGTCCAAGTAGTATACCACGTCCTCCGCCACCCCTCTGTCCAAGTAGTATACCACGTCCTCCGCCACCCCTCTGTCCAAGTAGTATACCACGTCCTCCGCCACCCCTCTGTCCAGCCCTGCTATATTCCGATTGTCAGAACAAGTCCCACCTTCGTCCTCACAAGCCCTTTATTGTAGTGACATTACCATTTCGTAGAGTCAAAATACAGTCATGGCCGAAATTGTTGGCACCCTTGATATTTTTCCTGAAAATCAAGTATTTCACACAAAAAAGGTATTGCATTAACACATGTTTTGCTATACACATGTTTATTCCCTTTGTATGTATTGGAACAAATTAAAACAGAGGCAGAAAAGCAAATATGACATAATGTCACACAAAACCCCAAAAATGGGCTGGACAAAAGTATTGGCACCCTTAACTTAATATTTGGTTGCACACCCTTTGGAAAACATAACTGAAATCAGTCGCTTCCTATAACCATCAATAAGCTTCTGACACCTCTCACCCGGAATTTTGGACCACTCTTCCTTTGCAAACAGCTCCAGGTCTCTCTTATTGGAAGGACACCTTTTCCCAACAGCAATTTTAAGATCTCTCCACAGGTGTTCAATGGGATTTAGATCTGGGCTCATTGCTGGCCACTTCAGAACTCTCCAGCGCTTCTTTGCCATCCATTTCTGAGTGCTTTTTGACGTATGTTTGGGGTCATTGTCCTGCTGGAAGACCCAGGATCTTGGACGCAAACCCAGCTTTCTGACACTGGGCCCTACAGTGCGACCCAAAATCCTTTGGTAATCCTCAGATTTCATGATGCCTTGCACACAGTCAAGGCACCCAGTGCCAGAGGCAGCAAAACAACCCCAAAACATCATTGAACCTCCACCATATTTTACCGTAGGTACTGTGTTTTGTTCTTTGTAGGCCTCATTCCGTTTTTCGGTAAACAGTAGAATGATGTGCTTTACCGAAAAGCTCTATCTTGGTCTCATCTGTCCACAAGACGTTTTCCCAGAAGGCTTTTGGCTTACTCAAGTACATTTTGGCAAACTGTAGTCTTGCTTTTTTATGTCTCTGTGTCAGCAGTGGGGTCCTCCTGGGTCTCCTGCCATAGCGTTTCATTTCATTTAAATGTCGACGGATAGTTCGCGCTGACACTGATGCTCCCTGAGCCTGCAGGACAGCTTGAATGTCTTTGGAACATGTTTGGGGCTGCTTATCCACCATCCGGACTATTCTGCGTTGCAATCTTTCATCAATTTTCCTCATCCGTCCACGACCAGGGAGATTAGCTACAGTGCCATGGGTTGCAAACTTCTTGATAATGTTGCGCACTGTGGACAAAGGCAAATCTAGTTCTCTGAGATGGACTTGTAACCTTGAGATTGTTGATATTTTGCCACAATTTTGGTTCTCAGGTCCTCAGACAGTTCTCGTCTCCTCTTTCTGTTGTCCATGCTTAGTGTGGCACAGACAGACACACAATGCAAAGGTTAAGTGAACGTCTCTCCTTTTTATCTGCTTTCAGGTGTGATTTCTATATTGCCCACACCTGTTACTTGCCCCAGGTGAGTTACAGGAGCATCACATGCTTGTAACATTCTTATTTATCCGCAGTTGTGAAAGGGTGCCAATACTTTTGTCCAGCCCATTTTTGGAGGTTTGTGTGACATTATGTCGAATTTGCTTTCTTTCCTCCCTTTTTTTGTTTTGTCCCAATACACACAAAGGGAATAAACATGTGTATAGCAAAACATGTGTTAATGCAATACGTTTCGTGAGAAATACATGATTTCCTGGAGAAATATCAAGGGTGCCAACAATTTCGGCCATGACTGTATAAGGTATTTAGTAATGAACTATATTAAAAAAAAAAAAGAAACCGGTTAAAGTTTCCTTTTCTTTACTTTGCACTGAGTGTGGATCTTTGACATTCACATACACTTTGAGGAGCACATGGTGCAGGGACTATGGATGGAATCATTTGTGACTGGCTGATGCCCGGAGATTCAGGGTAATGTTTTTATGACTCCATTCTGTCTTGTTCACATCCTGCAGCGCTGCGGGAGCACCTTTTCTGCAGACTGCTGAGACATTCTTTACCGCATCCCTTTCATTTTGAATGGTCCAAATGCAGCACAAATGGCTCCGGCAGTATTTTATTTGCACCACAGCCCATGTCATGAGTTGGGTATGTGTGTTGGTAAATTACTATGCACATACTGTGTGGTAGGCGTGAATGGCCCCAAAAGCCAAGTGTTTCATGACTAGCATGTAGAGTCATGGATACAAGGGTCACCCTAGAATGAGAATGGAGCCATGGTTGCAAGGGCCACACTTTAGCGAATAGAAAACCATGATGACAAGGGCCACTCAGGAGCAATGTATAAAGCCAAGGAGGTGAGGGTTACCCTGAAGTGAGTAAAGAGCCAAGGAGGTGAGGGCCACTCTGGAACAAGTATAGAGACCAGGGCGATCTTAGAGCAAATATAGACATATGGGCCACCCCGGTGTGAGTATAGAGCCATGGAGACAAGGGCCACCTTAAAGCGAGTATAGAACCATGGAGGCGAGGGACGTTCTTAAGCGAGTATAGACACAAGGGCCACTGTGGAGCATGTATAGAGCCATGGAGACAAAGGCCATCTTGGAGCAAGCTTGGACCCATGGAGACAAGCCATTCTGGAGCATGTATAGAGCCATGGATACAAGGGCCACATTGGAGGAAGTATAGAGCAATGAAGACCAAGGCCACCCTAGAGAATGGAGTCATGGAGACGAAAGCCACCCTGGGGCAAGTATAGAGTCATGGAAACGAGGGCCACCCTGGGGCAAGTACAGAGCCATGGAGACGAGGGCCACCCTGGAGCAAGTACAGGGCCATGGAGACGAGGGCCACCCTGGAGCAAGTACAGGGCCATGGAGACGAGGGCCACCCTGGAGCAAGTACAGGGCCATGGAGACGAGGGCCACCCTGGAGCAAGTACAGGGCCATGGAGACGAGGGCCACCCTGGAGCAAGTACAGGGCCATGGAGACGAGGGCCACCCTGGAGCAAGTACAGGGCCATGGAGACGAGGGCCACCCTGGAGCAAGTACAGGGCCATGGAGATGAGGGCCACCCTGGAGCAAGTACAGAGCCATGGAGACGAGGGCCACCCTGGAGCAAGTACAGAGCCATGGAATGAAGGCCACCCTGGAGCAAGTATAGAGCCATAGAGACGAGGGCCACCCTGGGGCAAGTATAGGCCCATTTAGACAAGGGCCACCCTGGAGCAAGTATAGAGCCATGGAGGCGAGGGCCACCCTGGAGCAAGTATAGAGCCATGGAGGCGAGGGCCACCCTGGAGCAAGTATAGAGCCATGGAGGCGAGGGCCACCCTGGAGCAAGTATAGAGCCATGGGAAGACGAGGGCCACCCTGGGGCAAGTATAGAGCCATAGAGACGAGGGCCACCCTGGGGCAAGTATAGGCCCATTTAGACAAGGGCCACCCTGGAGCAAGTATAGAGCCATGGTGGCGAGGGCCACCCTGGAGCAAGTATAGAGCCATGGAGGCGAGGGCCACCCTGGAGCAAGTATAGAGCCATGGAGGCGAGGGCCACCCTGGGAGCAAGTATAGAGCCATGGAGACGAGGGCCACCCTGGGGCAAGTATAGAGCCATGGAGACGAGGGCCACCCTGGGGCAAGTATAGAGCCATGGAGACGAGGGCCTCCCTGGGGCAAGTATAGGCCCATGGAGACAAGGGCCACCCTGGAGCAAGTATAGAGCCATGGAGACGAGGGCCACCCTGGGGCAAGTATACAGCCATGGAGCAAACCTATTCACATCTCTCATTCCATCACATATCCCAAAAATAAGCAGTATTCTCTATTTCAGGAGTAGGGGGCAATGCAAATGATTCCTTTATACTCCAACATCTGGATGCACATGCAGGACCCCTGGTTTATAGCTCAGTAATAGCCCAATAACAGAACCATTCAGGTTACAGTGAGAAGGGAATAATAATAATAAAATGTGAATAATCTGTTGTAAGACGTCTTTTCTGCCCTATGCACTGCTTTGGTTGGGGGACTTTCCCATCCCTCTAGTCCCTTCTCACCATAGCGGGGGGTGTTGTACTGCCTCAGATGTCACCGTTGATAGATTCCAGCAGCTAATGCGAGGCTTCTTGCACCGATTTTTACTTTGACACATTTCCGTCTCACCGCAGTCAAACCTTCATATCATTTAATACTTTATTTATTTATTGTTTAGTGGAAATTGCCACATTAACGCGGGAGAATGGAAAGACCAAAATCCGAGTCCTCAAACAGAAAGAAGTGGAGGAATTAATAAAACTTCACGAAGAGGAAGAAGCCAAGATCGAGCGAGAGAAGAAAGAAAAAGAGCAGAAAGAAAAAGATAAATAATACCAGCAAAGAGGTTAACTGATCCCTGGCAAAGTGTACCTGTCACTGACTGAGACCTGTCGTCGTTTCAGACGACGCGGCTTTATCAATTTATTGGGAGCCAATCACTTCACACCCTTGTGACAAGGAGGCAACAGTGGTGTCACATGCTCTTGGTATATTGATCAGTTCTGATAAATAGCTGCTTCCGATGTGAGGGACAGGTACTCTTTACAGTTCATGACCTGTTTTTTTTTTTGGCTTCCTGATATAGATTATTAAATTCTTACATTATTTTTTTTTCTGTTCTTGAAATTAAATTTTTTTTTTTCTTAAAACATGGCAGTAGATGTGAATTTTTATATAAAAAAATGTAGTGCAGCGCTAAAATAATATTTGTAACACACAATATAAATGATTACTGTATGTAAGAAATATTTATGACGTGGATATGGATAAAGGAAGAGTGGTAAATGTCCCCACAATTGTGAAAATGATTCCAATATTAAATTCAGCAGGTGTATCGATAGGTGACTTCTCTTAATCCCAGTGATAAGTGTAGTCCGGTGACGTGCGGGAAGAAATGATAAGATTGCACACTCACCAGAGGCGCAACATAAATGCGCATTTAAGTCAGATAAGCCCGAGGTCCCCTCTGTTCTGGGAAACATGCAGCCTGGAATGGACTACCTCTTCTATAACTTCTAGAGGTCCCCTTTAGGTCTGCGGTGAGGGTCTGCAACAGGTGTCTCTCCTCTGGGCCCTGGGATGGTCACCTTGGGTTCCTGGGGGATTAAGTGCAGCTGGTTATAAAGATGGCCGCCGGACCTCCGTGATCTGGCGGCGTGACGTCTCGGCGTGCGGGGCTCCTCCTTAATATGAATTTTTTTGGGGGGGCAGTAAAATCCTACGATTTATCCGCATTTTTGCTGCCCCTGAACCACTCCCCTTTTTAGCTGGAATGGCAGTGGCTGGGGGTGTATACATGACATGGCTGCGATGCTTTGCTTCGGGGCAGGAATTATACCCCTTTTCATGCTCAGTAGGCACTACCACCTACCAAACGTATCCCATTCAAGTAAATGGGGCTGCGCTGCAATGGCGTGCAATGCGCATAGTTGCGCGGTGGTCTGGCATTTAGGGGGTTAAAACAGGCAGCGAGGAGGCAATACAACACCTCCCTGCCTGTCAGATGCTTTCTGAAGAGCGATCTGAATGAGGAGAGACCAAAGCAAGTGTAAATGAGGCCCTAACCTTTTGGCACCGGCCGAACGCAAATTTGTGGCCTCCCAGCGTCTGTGCCTAGAAGCCGAGCGGCCGCACATTTGTGTTCTATTAAAAAAAAAAAAAAAAGCATGTCCTGAGAGCACGCGCCCTGCATGCTCCCAGCACACGTCTGGTATTCACAGAAAGGTCCCGATCTCTTTTAAACGGGACCCTTTCCCGATCATGTGACGGCGTGTCACGGCGGTCGCATGACCCTAAACGCCCGGCTTCTTGAACCCTTAAAGGGCCTGAAGGTGCCGGCACCAAGGGGTTAAAATGCCCATCATGAGAGACGTATGCATTGCAAGCTGCCATTTCTGAAAATGCTCGTTGCGGAGTCACTGACTCAGAACAAGCATGTAACAAGGAAAAGTCAGAATTCCTCGTCTTCCAACCGAGAGTCTGATATTCTCTCCAAAGCGACTTTTTGGTTAGTGTGAGGTTCACTTTAAATCTAACCTCCGGACCAAACAAACATCGGCCTAAATATGAATCACGTATTCTCCCCTGAATCTGTGTGCTTTGTGTATTCCATATCTGTGCATTAGCTTCCTGTAATAAAGACCGCTCACTGCTGCTCTCTCTCCTTGTGCAGGGTGATCGGTCTGGTCTCCGCCCCCTCCTGCTGTTTTCTTCAGGCAGCCTGCAGTAGGTGGAGCCTGCTGGGTCCCTCCCACAGCTCCACTCTGCACAGGCTATGTACAGCACAGTGATGTCACTGGCACGTTTACAAGGTATCCATGTTTGCAAAGACATTTATGCCCTTTTGTAGCAGTTGAAGAATATATTTGACCAGGGGCGGACTGACAACTCATGGGGCCCCCAGGCAATAGGGGATCATGGGGCCCCCTGTGTCCTCGCCCACACTCAAACCCAGGGGTGGACTGACCATTTGGAAACTCTGGCACTGCCCGAGGGCCCGGGGTCAGTAGGGGGCCCCATGAGATGCCCCTGGTACCTTTTTCATAGGCTTTTTTGAGTTTGGGCAAGGACACAGGGGCCCCATGATCCCCTATTGCCCGGGGGCCCCATTAGTTGTCAGTCTGCCCCTGCTCAAACCACACCCAAAAAAGCCTATTAAAGGTACCAGGGGCATATCATGGGGCCCCCTTACTGACCCCAGGCCCTCGGGCAGTGCCAGAGTCTCTGAATGTTCAGTCCGCCCCTGTATTTGACCCCTAATGCAGGTTCGAATTCCGAACGAATTTTTTTTTTCGTCCGAAAATCGAAACGTCGTTCTGTAATCCGATGGTGTCACCAATGATTTCGAAAACCAGTCGTTTTTCACAAATTTTCCAGCATGCCCGATAAAACAAAATGGGGAGGAACCACGAAAATCGGCCGATGTCATTGCCCCACTAACAGAGCGAAAATTGGCCGATTATTCTTGGGTACGATTTTCGTACAAAAATCTTTTGGAATTCGAACCGTGTATGGCCGGCGTTACTTACGGGTAAAACAAATGTTGCTGCCTAAACACTATTTTGCAACTTTGACGTGTTCATAAAATTGTACATCATCACCACGACTACACTTTGTGTACCCAAGTGGATTATAACGTGGTTCTTTCAGGACAAACTGGACTTACTTTTGGTTAGTAAAAAAGAAAACTTTTTTTAAATTTTTTTTATTCATTTAGCTGTATATTTCTTGCTATTACCATAACCTAGCACCAAAGAGCACCCCAAAATAAATTCTGTTAGTGATGATTGCAGTGATACCACATATGTGTATGTTGTTTGTACCTGTAGTACAGACCAGAAACAATACTGCGCATCGCTTTTTTTTTTTTCCTATCCTACCTAAAACACACTGACATTCACACTAACATACTAATTTTAAAAATGTTTTTAAAAAAAAAAAAAAAAAAATCCTGAGGATGACCTTTTGACCCTAACACTGACCTAGATCTAATGTTAATCTATCGATTTTTTTTTTTTTTTTTTTTTTTTTTTTTTTCCTCTCCTTTATTTTACACACACTTTTTTGTTTATTTTCTGTCTGCAAAGTGAGATGAGATTCATAGTTACATAGTTAGTCTGGCTGAAAAAAGACAAAAGTCCATCCAGTTCAACCATAGAAAGAAAAAAAAAAAGTTTTAATCCTACACCCACAGTTGATCCAGAGGAAGGCAAAAAAACGAGCAAAGCACGACCCAATTTGCTCCTGCTGGGAAAAAATTCCTTCCTGATCCCCGAGAGGCAATCGGATATTCCCTGGATCAACTTTCCCTATAAATGTTATATCCAGTTATATTCTGTGTATCCAAGAAAGAATCCAGGACTTTCCTACAGCAATCCACTGAGCTGGCCACAACCAACTCTTGAGGGAGTCTATTCCACATTTTCACAGCTCTCACTGAAGAAACCTTTCTGTGTTTGGAGATCAAATTTCTTTTCCTCCAGACGTAAAGAGCGCCCCCTTGTCCTCTGTGATGACCTCAGGGTGATTCATTGTATCTCCCAGATTCAGAGAGAAGAAAAAAAAAAAAAAAAAAACCACAGGAGCAGGCTGCACAGTGACTGGTCGCTGTGATAGCCAATCAGAGACTATCACAGCAATCAGGTGACCCAGAAATGGGGGTCCCGATTGTTAGTACAGGACTCCTGAAGCCAGCCCGGTCTTTGTGCTGGGAGCACGCTGTGTGGCACACTCCCAGCACAAACACAGATACGCATATATACGGCCCCACTGAAAAAAAAATCCCAAGTCTGTGAAGCCGCATATATAGTCGGGAAAAGTATTATTAGATCCCCTGCAGACTTTGAAAGTTTTCCCACTTGCAAATAAATGAAGGGTCTATAATTTTTATCACAGCTGTATTTTAAATGATAGAGACAGAATATCAACCAAAAATCCAGAAAAACATACGATACAAATGTTAGAAATTGAGTTGCAGCTCAGTGAGTAAAATAAGTATTTGATCCCCTACCAAACAACAATTCTGGCTCCCACAGGCTGGCTGTGTGCTCATGTGGTACACAGATTAGTCCTGTCAATTTAGGAAAGGGCACCTAGCGACAACTTATGTGTATAAAAGAAACCTGTCCACAGGTTTCTTCCATTCAAACCTCCCCACCATGGGCAAGACCAAAGAGCTGTCAAAGAACATCATGGCCAAGACTGTAGACCTGCACAAGGTTGGAAGGCCATCAGCAAGAAGCTTGGTGAGAAGGGGACAAATGTTGGAGTGATTATTCGCAAATGAAAGAAATACAAAACAACCATCAGTCACCCTCGCTCTAGAGCTCCATGCAAGATTTCACCTCATGGGGTAAGGATGATCATGAGAAATGTCTACCCCACCCTCACCTAACTGCCATTCTCCCTCATTCCTCCCACCACTTCATTCCCCTCAGCCACTTCCTACTGTACCATTACCCCCTCCCTCCTAGATTGTAAGCTTGAAAGAGTAGGGCCCTCTTACCCCTCGTACGCTGTCTGTTTTTGTTGTACTGTGCCATGTATTGTCCCCCCCTCTATTGTACAGCGGCTGAGCAAACCCTTTGGCGCTATATAAACTCCATGTAATAAATAAATGAGAAAAGTGAGGGATCAGTCCAGAACTACACGGGAGGAGCCTGTGAATAATCTCAAGGAAGTTGGGACCACAGACACCAAACAAGCCATTGGTAACACAAAACACCTCCATGGATTGAAATCCTACAGCACCCGCAAGGTCCCCTCCTCAAGAAGGTACATGTACAGGCCCATCTGAAGTTTGTCAATGAACATCCAAATGATTCAGAGAAGGT